GTCACCAGGTGTATTTGGGAGCTGGTTGGCAGTAAGCAGGGTGGGATGCTGTGACAGTCCTGTGTCACCGTGGTCATGAGCAAGTGATAACAGGCTTGGGGTCAGGTGTTAGTAATACCAGGTCGGAGCTGGCCTGGTCTTGAATGTTAGATACTGGTCCAAAACTCTTTATGTTCTCCAGAACACATTCGGATCTTAGATTAAGACTGTAGCCCTTTTATTAAAAGTGGACGAGAAATAAATTATTTTAATTCTCTTTCGCTCTTTATTTCTTTCCTGCCCTCTTTTATACATTTCTCTTCCTTGAACAGTGAAGCCTATACCTTCAATTAGTTTGAAAATTCTCTAACTTCTAGTCTCCCAATAGGATTAGACCTGCTAAGAGTAACTAGTGTTTCCTATCTGATAAATAAGGGGATTATAGCAATAACTGCTGTCAGCATTTTTCTCATTTAAACAAATAAAGCTGACAAATGATGAAGTTCTCTGCTGCTCTGTTGTGTTTAGTACATGCAGAGCAATTATTCATCTGCTGCCAACGTTAGTCTATCCACAGCTAAACCGTCCAACAGTGTAGAAAGCTTATTAGCATATCAGTACCATGGTCATATTTTTATATTCTCTAAGACTCTACTCCATAACAAAGGCCGATGGTTATAATTCTCACAATAATTTAAAGGGTTGGACTTTTCCGTGCTTATTAGAGTTATGCAAGTTATCGCGTACAATGCTGCTCTTATTTACGAGATGCTGTTTTTTTCATTTGCCTGGAATTTTTGCTGCCCCGTAGCATTTCCTATGAACACGTTAGCTGCCGTCTCTGGAGATGAAGTAGATGGCGGGGTGCTGTCTCTGCGTGCGGCACTGTGGGGTGAAATTCAGTGGAGGAGGAGACGGGAGCTGGGGTTTCCTTTAGTAGAGCTGCTTTCCTTGGAGGTTTCTCACGTGTGGATATATGTCTCATGTGTACATGTATATGTATGTACACACATATATACTATTAGATGTGTGTATATGTATGTCTATACACATATATGTACTGCATATATAAATGTGTGTATGTGTGTATATATCACTACAGAAGTAAAGATTTGAGAAAGAATGTACTATTTTTTTAAAAAATATTTCTTATTCATTAGTTATTTCTTATTTTGGAAGGGAAAAGTGTAATAGATACAAAGTATTCATCATTTTCCAAAGATTCTTCTGGAGAGGGTGGTTTGATAAAACTGAGAACCTCGCATTAGAAGAGGAAGACCTAATCCAGAGAGAGATGCACTATTTGTGGGATGGTAATGCCACTTGTGGCCTTTTGAGGAATCCTGCCACCCCGATGCAACTGGTGGGGAAAATAACACTGGGTTTGGGAGCAGTTGGTTTATACTCGCTTTGCTTCGCTGAGCCCACGGGGAGCCTCTGATGGGAATTTGTGGCATCCTAATCTTGAAATCGTGACTTTGCCATTTTCCTCCCAACTGTGGTTAGTTTGAATGAGGGGGTTGCAAAACCTCCTGACAAGAATAGGGTAAGATCAGTTATCATCCTCATAGGGGGGCACCCTGGTTTACTGTTTATGCTTCACAAAGCACAGTGTGCAGCTCTTTATCTACAGGATCATGATTTCTAGCTGGGGTCTTGCTGACCCTACAGGGACTGCCCTGCCCTGGACTGGCTAATTCTTAGAGATAGCTAACAACGGGCCTGGGAGCTTGCTTTTCATATGCAGACAAACCTGTCCAGAGCCCATCGCCCTAACCACCTGCTCTATGGAGTTTTCATGTTCCAGACTACTTTTCCCCAGGACCAGATACCAGAAAATTAGGGACAGCCATTATGTCCCAGAGCCCACTGACATTATTGGGTTGTCTCTTCACTGTTTTGATCGTTTCCTTTGCTGTGCAGAAGCTTCTTAGCTTGATGTGATCCCATTTGCCCATTTTTGCTTTGGCTGCCTGTGCTTTTAAGGTCTTACTCAAAAAAGTCTTTGCTCAGACCAATGTCCTGGAGTTTCCCCAATGTTTTCTTCTAGTAGTTTCATAGTTTCAGGTCTTAGGTTTAAATCTGTAATCCATTTGACTTGATTTTTGTGTATGGTGAGGGATAAGGATCTAGTTTCATTCCGCATACAAATCCAGTTTTCCCAGCACCATTTACCGTCCTTCCCCCAGTGTATGTTCTTGGCACCTTTGTCAGAAACCTTTTGGCTGTAAAGGATGGATTTATTTCTGCATTCTCAATTCTATTCCGTTGGTCTAGGGGTCTGTTTTTATTCTAGTACCATGCTGTTTTGACTTTTATGGCTTTGTTGTGTATTTCGAAGTTGGGTAGTGTGATGCCTCCAGCTTTGTTCTTTTTGCTCAGGATGGCTTTAGCCCTTTGAGGTCTTTTATGGTTCCATACAAATTTTAGGATTGTGTTTTCTTTTTCTGTGCATGTCATGGGTATTTTCACAGGGATTGCATTGAATCTGTAAATTACTTTGAGTAATATTGTGTGTATCCTGCAGTGGCTGGGTGAAATGCTTGAACACGTCTGTGACCTTTCAAGGTTATTGAATGTTTGCTTGGTGAGACCAAGAAGAGAGGGGGGTGTATTCTGCCTTAGTAGGTCTCCCTGGCCTGCAGCAGGGCCGCTCTGGCACGTTACAGTTGCCCTACATCCTATCTGTGTGCATTGCTTTGACATTCTCTCCCCTCCACCTCACTCTTCGAAGTAGATCATCCACCATTTGCCTTAAATCAAAGAGAAAAATATAAATCAAGCCCTCTTCTCCAGAGCCTACCTCCTTAGTTTTACCTATTCAACTTTACTTTCTATCACGCATGTTTTCTGCGCTAACAAACTTTTTAAAAAATCTTACTATTTCCCCTTTCTGTGATATTTCCCCTTCTCTCTTTGCCTGCCAACCCTTCCTTCCTTCTTGCTTTTGTCCTTCCACTCATATTTCTTGTTTTATTTAAGAAACGAACAAAAAAAGCAGCAGCAACATCATCATCTCTTCCTATTCAATACAGGAGACAGCTTTTAAGATCCTTACATCTCTGACAGGGAAAACACAGTATTTTTGCACTTTCCACTCACAGGGGAAGCATGAATTATCAACTGTCATCAAGATGATTTTCTGTATGTGGGTTCTTCCTATAAATTTAAAAAGTATAGTTCAAACTGTGCACGGTGATTTATATGCCATAACTGTCTCTCATCACACACTACACATATTACTGATTGGGTGGAAAGGAACACTTCCCCAGCCTGACTAATCCTACACCCCCATTCTTGTCCTTCAAATCCCGTCCCTGTGATGTCATCATGTTCCGCCTCCTCCACTGAGACTCCTGAGCTCGTTTTCATTCTACTGATGCTCCTGTCTCCTGTTTTCCTTTTAAATGTAAAGGAAAAAGCATAGTTAGGCACTTAATTTTTTTCTTTAAATGTTCCGTGCCTTAGTCTTATTTCCATAAAGATAAGTGCCTAAAAATACAAGGACAGAATTGAATCGGTGAGACGCATCTTTATGTCGTGCTGGTTTTGGTGTAAGATGACCAGGTTCAAACTCCAGACCCTCCATTTAGAAACTCTGTGTCTGTGGACAGACGTCTTAGCTTCTCTCCATCATAGTTCTCATGTCTGCAAGCCGGGGCTGCAACAGCACGCACTGCCTCGGTGTGTGTGGCAATATGATGGGTGAATACACTCAAGACTCATCATGATGGAGGCACTTACGTGGAATTCACTAATAAGCATCACCTCTTCCCCCGCCACACTGCCTAGCCTAGAGCAAGGCACAGCCGCAGAGAATGTGACGGGTGGAGAGGACACGCTGGCTGTAAAGGCTGCTGCCCGATTTGTGACGAGTTAACTGATATGGCTGCTGCAGAGAGTCTCCCCTTTCATCCTTGGCAATCCGTGTAAAGTGACTGTTCTTCCCCAAAACAGAAAGGCTTAATAGTTCTTGGTCAAAGGTGTGGAAGAAGCTCCCACTCTCCAGTTATGGGTGCCAAAGTCACTTTCAAACTGCTAGAAGGGGAATGCAAAGTAATAAAAAACCCATTAAAAGGTTAAGGCCATAACAGCTCTATCCCAGTTCACCAGTGTAGCCCTAGCCCTCTTTCTGTGAAAGCCTCTTTCTTCACCTCCTCATACCATCACTATGGGGACCCTCCTGGGTTCTCCTACGAGGTCTCTAAGATTAACTTAGTTCATGGGTGCAACTGTGTTATATCAAAAAAGAAATACAAACAAAAAAAGATAAATATTTGAGGCGATAGTTATCCCAAATACCCCGATTTAATCATTACACACTTTGTGCACTTATCAAGATATCGCATGTGCTCCAAAAATATGTACAACTATGACATAGCAATTTAAGAAAATACCAAAAAGTACAAAAAAAGAGACTAATTTAGCTCAACTTGTCTGCTTCCCCCCTGTGTTCAACTTTTCTTTGGATCTCATTGGCTTTGCTGTCCTGAGCCTTTGAAGTCGATGCTTTGGCCCTTAGATTCGCAGCCTGGTCACCCGTGTGCGCATGTCCACCGTCCCTTCTTTCTTCTAGGCCACACTGTTATAATCCAGTGACTCTCCCCGGCTGCCAAGCCCAGGGGTGGGGGCACATAGAACAGCCTGGAACTGTGTCTCCGAGGTTGGTGTGCCAAGGCCTCCTTGAGCTTCCACAGTCCCAGCAGTTAACTTAGGTACCGCATTCCCCATCGTCAATTTTACCCAAAGAAGGACAGAAAAAGCATCTAGTCAAGTTACCATGAAAACTATGATCTGCAGGGCAGGAACAATTGCTTGGTAATACTTTACACTCGTGTTTGCCAGCCTGCTCAGCTGTTGGAATTTAATTAGCAGTAATATATTATTGTCAAAGTAATTAAAATCTTGCCTTGATTAAAAACAGAATTGTTTAATTAAAAAGAAAAGGTTTGGCTAACCTTAACTTTTCTGTTCGAGAAATACAACGGCCTCAGCTGATTGTCCCTGTCTCCCCCCATCAGGCCTGAAGGTCCGTGAGGTGTTCATTAACGTCACCAGGCAGCAGGTGGAGGACTTCCACGGGCCAGAGGACTACTGGTGCCAGTGTGTGGCATGGAGCCACCTGGGGACCTCCAAGAGCAGGAAGGCCTCTGTGCGCATAGCCTGTAAGTACACTCTGGGCGACCTTGTCCCGGGGGACCCATTCTGGGTGACCTTGTCCCGGGGGAACACAGACAAGCATGACACAGAGTTGCAGAGGGGCTCTGGAGACATCAGATGCTTCTGCATGATACAGATGAGAACAGGAACAGCAAGAAACCATCAGAACTCTCCCTCTACTAAATTTTTATTATACTCTTTTTAAAGGGTATTTGAAATGTTTGATCATTTCCTCCGGAGTACAGTCAGCAAATCAGTTTGGCTGAGAGATTCTGCCTAGATTGTCAGAGTGCAGGTGTCTCAACAATGCCAGGAAGGGCTGTTCCTGAGCGAGAGAAACCCACACAAATGGATTCTGCTGCTCACCGTCGATGACAGAGTTCAGGGGGCATTGACAGGAAAAGCTGAGCTGTGACTGTTTACTGTAGTTTCCAGCAAATCTGCAAAAATGAGACGTTAAAGACATTAAGCGATGTTTATAGCCCACTGGTAAATCTCTTCTCTCTGAATCTTAAAACCTGGAAATGTGTTTTTAAACTGCGTTCGTTTGACCCAAGTAGGATTCGTGTACAGTACACTTCATCCTTCCAAACGTTTTAAAAGAAAAATACGCACTCAGAAAATAATAAGAAAGAAAGAAAGTTGCTTTTCAGGAGAGTCTAAGATTTCTTTATCATACTTCAGCATCAGTGTTTTTATAATCTAAGAAAATGTGTAAATACCCAGACTTCTTTTCTCCTCCTTGAGAATGTCATCGGCCCACCTACTCCCATTACCCCACCTCCGTGGAGCCCCGTAAAACCTCCTTTGTGTGCCCAGGAGTGTACACGCCCCTCCCCCAGAATGAAATTGGGAGACGGAGGCAGATATGGTTATTGTTGTTTTATTCAAATACTGTCTTTTGAGAGTGTCATAAAGAATATGGGACAAGAGAGATTTATCTGAGGACTCAAGTAATTCTTCATAGCAGATGTTGATGGTTTCGGGGTTGAGAATAGGAGCGAATTGCTATTTGCAGAGACATTTATGTTTCTTGGGAAATGAAATCTTCCTTTTAAAGTACGCATTTCACCTTCACTCTACTGGCGATTTGGGAAGCCTTCTCCTGGGTGGAGCCTGGGCCCTAATAGGACAGGGAGAAGAGGTCACCTCATAAACTGTGCTGTTGACGTGAGAGCCATAGGAAATATTAACAATTTTCCTATGGTTATTTAATTAATTCATTTTAGCCAACAAGTATATTATAACTCTAAAATAGCAGGTCAGCCAAAAGGGGAAACATGTTTGCATTTACTCTTCGGTTAATAAGCTCGTGTCTGTGCCCCCAGCATGGCCTGGGCCTTGCCATTCGCCATTCGAAGCGTTTGACCCAAGTCAAGACAAAGCAGGTGTCCTCTGGGTTCTTCCTGGAACAGAGACAAAAGAACATGAGGGGTTTCAACCCAGGTTCCCTCAATTTCTTTCTTTTCAACCCTACTTCTTCCATCCTCTCCTTCCTTCCCTCCCCAAAGGCCCACACGACCTGTTCTCTGCACTACTCTAAATTCCGTCTCCCTGACCAGTCCACGCCCCACCTCTCCCACTTCCGTCCTTGCCTAACTGAATTCCGAACGCCAACTGCCCGCCAAAAAACCCCAAGGAATTTTTTTACAGGGAAAGACTTTGTTTTTGCTTACAAAGTTTGGCAACGAATGGCTCATACCCACCTTCATTAATTTCCCTAAGCTTGGATTGTGTACAGTGTATGTCACCCTTCCAAACGCGTCACCCTCGCCTCTCTGGCGTGTGCCTTCGCTCCTCCAGTTTCTGGTTTCACACGTGCATGGCGTGGTGGAGAACCCAGACTCCAGAGTCCTGTTGGTTTCTGGTTTCAACCCCCTACTTCTTAGTGTTGAGATAGTAGACAATTTATTTTCATCTCCTTGTGTCTTAATGTTTTCATCAATAAAAGGGCCCCTACTTCATGGAACCATTTTGCGAGTTAGAGGTATTTATATCTGTAAAGTGTTTAGAAGTATCCTCGGCCCAGAATTAGCACCTGTTAATCATTGGCCATTATTTTATGATATATTTGATCCCCTATGACACTGGCATCTTGCACTCGTAGGTGTGTTAATCCTTATTGAAACTAAATGGATTAAAATGTTAGTGCCTCAGTAATTTTTCTGTAGATTATGGATATATGGACTATCTATAAAATTTTATTCTAGGTCAGCCTTAGGTATCCAACTCTCCCAGGTATGATAGAATCAAAGAATGTTAAAAGTGATAAATGATCTTCTATTCTATCACTTCCCACCTTTTTAGAGTCACGAGATACTTTCCCAGTAATAATCTCACAAATCTCTTCAGAGATTAAGAAAATATGTTGTCATTCTTGTATATGATATGCACATATATATGAGATAAAGATACCATATTTAAATAAATATCTAAATATCATTGCTCATATTATGCAACTCACTTAATGTAATCTTTAGTAATGTTTGCAACATATTTTTGATTTCTTCCCATGTAGCAAGTGAGAGGTGGTTTAATTTATCTAAAATTATATATGCAAGCCAAGACATGATTTGTCATTAAATATTGCATTTGACTTGGGGACCAGTGTACATTAAAATGTAAATTGGAATTTAACTAGTATAATGGCATCAAGAGTGGGGAGGGGATTGCCTTTAGGACTTTGCTTGGAATTGTTTTGATTTTCTTGCAGGAAAAAAAAAGTGCTTTTTAAAACATAACTTTCATGTTATACTGGGATAAGAGAGAAGATTTCTGGCTGCTATCTGTAAGCACTTCCCAGCAAATAACATATTGCGTGTGACGATAGTCTTTATTCCCAATAAATGGAAAGCCCAATTTGATGTAATTGTCACTATCTTCTTGTTAAGATTGGTTTTTGAAGTACTAGAGACATGTTAATGTGCTAAAAAAGGATTTGATAGGTCAACGTAGCTTATGAATCTGATGACAGTCATCTTGCAGGAGCTTCGCAAAATTAGCATCACTTTTACATCATTCATTAAATTGTTGTAGTTCAACATCCCAGCTCCTTAGGCTTCCTACATGTAATCAATTATCCATTAAAAATTTAATAATTGTATAACTGCTGTGGGCAAAGCCGCCATGGCGGCTGTGACATTGGGCTGAGGGGTGTATCGACCAGAATGTCCTGACATAATCACGTTAGCCAAGAACACCAGGAAGCTCACTGAGACTCACCTAGAGATCATTCAGTGTTAAAGGGAGGCAATACAAACAGTAATTATTTATTTATATGACTCATGTCTTCATGGAATTGGACTCACACGGGGTTTTAGTTAAGTATGCAGAGCCCTGGCTTCCACCCCAAACCTTCTGGATCAGACTCTGGGAGAAGGGCCTGGAAAGTGTGTGTGTATCCAGCTATCCAGGTGATTCCGTGATCGGGTAACTTTGGGATATCTTGCCCAGGAAGAGTGTTCCTCAAACTTTAACATGCATGCCTGTCAACTGGGATCCTATTAAAATGCCAGTGATTCAGTTAAAAATTATTTTGTAAATCTGATGTAAGGCCTACAGTTTTATATTCCTAATGAGCTCCCTGGATGCAGCCACTGCCTATTGGTCTGTGGACCATACGTTCAGTAACAAGGCTCTAGAATGCCTTTATGAGGCACTATTTGTGAAATGTTGATTTAACCCGTTCCCCCAACTTCTTCATTTAACAGCTGGGAAAGTGATGTTCCAAAAGGTTAGGTGAGCCAAGGATGGTGGTGCACACCTGTAGTCCCAGCTACCTAGGACGCTGAGGCAGGGGGATCGCTTGAGCCCTGGAGTTCAAGGCTGCAGTGAGCTGTGATTACACCACTGCACTCCAGCCTGGGTGACAGAATGAGACCCTGTCTCTTTAAAAAGAAAAAAAAAAAAGGTTAGGTGACCAAGCAGAGGTCACCTGGCTGAGGGCAGACAGGCAGACAGGGACCCAGATCTTTCACTACCCCCTCACCCCTTGAATGTTCCTGCTGCTAAGCTATGTTGATTCTTTTCTGTTAAATAGGTGTTTAAAAACCATAGTAGAAAATTTCACCTGCATTTGAGTATTTCCTTAAGGAAAGCAGTGATTGCTTTCCTTCCTTACTCCCTTCATGAGTAAATTGCATTCCTCCTCACGGTCAAGTTAGAGAGCGTGTAGTGTATGTGTGTTGGAAGCCAAAGTGCCTGTCGTCTGAAACTATTGTTTTTTCCATAATGATTCCACGCTGTGTCAGGGAGATGTTGGCCGCCCATCCAACCGCCTGGGGCTGGAAATAGCTGAGGCCCAGTTTCAAAAGTGATTTTATACAGGTTAAAAATAAATAAATACAGCCAACCTACACTTCCCTCCCCAGAGTTGGCAGAAGTCCGTCTCCAGGGAAGGACTCCCACGGGCCCCCTCTCGTGCGTCTGGTTCAGCTGAGCGGGAGATAGACGGGCACACCGTGGCATCTGTTACTGCTGCTCCTGGACGGCTGTCAGAACGAGGAATATTCAATTATTCCTAGTTGTTTATTTTCATGTGTGAACATTTGGCTCCTTAGCCCTTTCTTTTCTTCCTTGTTTTTCTCCTCCTTTGCTGATAAAATGTTGTGCCTGCAACGTTAACCCTTCACTGTGCAAACCCTCTTGACACCTGGGCCTTTTCTCCAACATGGGAGAGGGGGTCGGGGAATAGAGGAAGTGCTCGCCCGTTATCACCAAGCCTCTGATAGCAAGTTGGCCAAGGAAGAAAATACAGGAAACGGCTATTTTGCGTTTTTCCCCCCCGAAGTGTATAAAACGTGATACATCCTGAATATAGTTTAAATATGCTGCTTATCTGAGACCCTCCCAAAGTATCTGTGCAGTTGTGCCAAGAATAAGTGAAGGAATTAGAGGAGAGCTTCACTTAAAAGCTATAAAACTGTCATAGTAAAAACAGCATAATTTTTATTTGCTTTTTGGCGGATAGTATATTTTCTGAAAATCATGGAAGAGAGATGTCCAG